GAGAGAATGCCAAGAGTGTGCAAAGCAGTAATCAGAGCAAAGGGTGGCTATTTTGAAGAAACTAGAATATAAAACATGTTTTCAGTTATTTCACCTTTTTTTGTTAAGTACATAACTCCACGTGTTCATTCATAGTTTTGATGCCTTCAGTGAGAATCTACAATGTAAATAGTCATGAAAATAAAGAAAACGCATTGAATGAGAAGGTGTGTCCAAACTTTTGGCCTGTATTGTATGTCTTTAAACATGACAGTAGGATATATAAACCTCTGATGTACGACTTTGATGTGATGATACAGGTTGAGTTTAAGGATGACAGTTATTTGAAGGCTCAGTGTTTGTTCTGCGTGCAACACGTCTCTCTGCAATAACACTATGTTGAGACATGTCTGTGCCAAACATGATGAAAGTCAAACACACCAAGCTGACAGCAACCAGCCCGTCAACACGGATATCCTGGTGATGAAGATGACCCACCATTTCTGTGGTAGAAGGTAGAAACTTTGTCAACATCCTGGATTCTACAGGCTGTCTGAGCTCTGGTGAGGGCTCAGATAACAACTTGAAAAAGTGACTGCTTGCTGGATTCCAGTTCAAGCACTCCAGTGCCAGCGTAACTGACTGTGAGCCACCAGCAGTGGTCGGGGACAGAGCCAGATGTTGGAAACATTCGGGGCTCAGCCCAAACCTGGAGGCTCATCTGAGGACATGCTCATAGACTGTATGAAATATTAGATGTAGCTACTTTGATGTCACTGTAAAGCTGGGCATTTTAACACGGGGTCAGCAAGGATTGACTCGCTTTTGGAGCCATTAGAGGAACGGCAGTTTTTGGCACCTCTGCACTGGCTTCATTTTTCACTCTGGAGGTTGATGCTTGGGCATGCTCCCCTTGGGAAATCTTACCAATGTAGTACTTGACATGCATGGATGTATGTGTGTTTGTTAAGAATGTGTGTATATGTATATATGTCTTAAGACATGATATAATGATATTACAATAAATTCTTATGTGTCAGTTTATGCCTGTACATGATAATATAGTTTGAGTTGTACGACTGCAATTACTGTGAGGATCAGTGTTTGCTCTGCATACAAGAGATATCCTTATGAGATAACACCTCGCCCATGTTGACATCTCTGTGCCAAAAACGACAGTCAAACACACCAGGCTGGCTGCAATCAGCCCATCAACACGGATATCCTGATGATAAGAATGACCCGCCATGGTTGTGATAAGGATAGAGGCTTTATCCTCTCTCCTCTGTGGAAAACTTTTCCCATTAACAGCAGCTATATGTGCACTATTTGTCAAGCTGGAGATAACAGACTTTTTAAAAATCTTAACATCATTTGTCGCATTTACATTTGTCTGGTGGAACATTATTCGGGGCGGCACAGTGGTGCAGTGGTTAGCATTGTTGCCCTTTTTGTGTGGAGTTTGCATGTTCTCCCTGTGTCAGCGTGGGTGTCCTCCAGGTGCTCCAGCTTCCATCCACAGTCCAAAGACATGCAGGTTAATTGGTGACTCTAAATTGTCTGTAGGTGTGAATGTGAGCGTGAATGGTTGTCTGTCTCTATGTGTCAGCCCTGGTTACGGAAAATTAATGAGTGAGCCTTCATCACATTTTGTTGCTTTCCATCTGTCTTCATCATTCTGACCCTATAACACTACAAATGTTGGAATGCTTTACTAATTTAGAAACCTGTTTTTCAGCCCATTCTAACTGAGTAAAGCTGTAAGGAACATTTAAAGTCACATAAGGCCAAATGACAAAAAGCATCACTTCACAAACTTAATGAAGCCAGCGATGTCACATGTTAACTCTCTAAATAAAGCATTTCAGTGTCCCATGAAGAAGCATTGTGCACACACCTTGCTACACTGGGAAAACTGGTTCCATTAGTGCATTATCACTTGAGGTCTGGCAGCCAATGGCTTCACAGTTTACACAGTCAGGGCCTGTCACCATCAGTGTCAGGAAACCTTGATTTTAACTCAGTAGCTGTGTATCCAGTATGTTGTTGGACGTGATACCAGAGTCATCATACTGACACACCCAAATGGAACACAGCCATTATCAGTATTATCAGTCACACCTGCTGTGCATGACAAGTGTTTTTGTTTATTTAATTTTTCGTATTTTCTTCGAACACAAAAACATCACAAAGTCAAAAGAGCTGACTGACTCAGGTCCTTCTGTGTGGAGTTTGCATGTTCTCCCTGTGTCAATAGGGGTGTCCCCGACTAAGAATTTTCATAGTCAAATCTGATTTGACAGATTTTTCCTTTAGCCGACTAATCGTCGAATCATGTTGTTCTCCCTCTCATTGATTAATGAGCTCATTTGCGTCAGTTTCCACTCCAGAAAAAAGAGCTAAAACACCCAAATAAACAAATTTAATTCTTCAGTTGGCATAATGAGATAATAATAATAAAAGTAAAAGGGTTATCATTTTATCTTTATCTTTATTCCTTTCACTTCATCAAGGTATGATGCTCTAGATGAGCGCAGACGCGCTGCAGCCTCATCCATGTCTTTAACAGGAGTCGTTTCTGACTCGTCAGAACTTGCCATTTCATTCACAAATAAACATCCAAAAACATCATCAAAAGGTTTAGAAACAGTTTTCCTTCTTTCTGACTTCAAGTTACTTCATTAATCAACTCAGGTTCATACAAGTTCATCCACACGGACCGTGCATCACCACTCTCAATTGTCGGAAAAAAAAGTAGCCAAATAAAAAATCAGAGTCTATCAAGACAACAATCAGCGGTGAAATTTGTTTCAAGACACTTCAGGTAAACGAATAATCCTCCAAAAAAATTTGATTTGAGAGCACATACCTCCTCCAAAGTGTTTGTTTATGCACTCCACCACCGTAAATCATCACCCCACGATTCCCGAGCACCGCTGCTGCTCACCGCTCCCTCAGGGGATGGGTCAAATGCGGAGAACAAATTTCACACACTCAGGTGTGTGACAATCAGTGGGACTTTAGGTTTAACTTTAAATCACCGTAGGCCTCGCTGCTGCTCTGATGGTCCTGCAGTGCACTCACTCACCTCAGCTTATTTGGATCGAGCAGCTGGGTGATTTATTCATGCGTAGTAATGATTATACGTACTGATTAAACGCACGTGTCATTTTCAATTTTTTATTAACAGAAATTAGGCTGAAGTTTGTATCAAAATAGGCTATATATCATGAATTACTAGAAAACAAATACATTCTATGTCAAATCAAGATGTTCAGCAGCAGTGAGCACCCCCATATAGTCAGAATGGTACGGTCTTGTTTCATAACCACATTTTGCGACAATTCGATGGCGAGACTGGCGGTCAAATCAGACTTCTCCCAGTCGAATCACTGAATCATCGACCATTCGGGGTCACCCCTACTCTTGAGTTACCCACAGGTGTGAATGTAGGTGTGAATGGTGGTGTGTCTGCCCTGTGATGGCGTACCCTGCCTCTCGCCCGGTGTCAGCACCTTCACGACCCTGTAAAAGAACGGCAGCCACAAGCCAGTGAGTCAAAGAACTGAGGCAACCAGTGTGAGCAGAGCCAGGGAGCCATACTTGTTAGAGACAATATATTTTTATTGCTTTGTGTTTTTAACAGATAATAAATATATGGCCCTGATATTGCACCTGTTTGTAGACATAATGGGTGGTTTGCTACGGTAGGCTACTTTCCATATGTTAGACAGTTGAGTATATGATTGACAAAAAAACAGTTTGTGCAACAGTACTTCATTCTATGACACCAAAACTGAAAATGACCTGAACATTTAACACATTTAAAGACTCAATAGATACGACTACACGTAGTTCGACAACTGCAAAGAAGATGCATGTTTTCTTCTTTGTGGTAATACAGTTGGTGTAGTTTGGTAGAAGGAAAATAGTCCCTATGTGAAGCTGCCCACAACAAGGTCTGCAGATTATCTTGAGTAACCATGTTTCCTGGAAAGAGACTTTAACACTGAGGTTTTCAAATGTATTTTTGTGGTGCTTTGAGCATCACAGGCCAAGTGCCATGTCGTTGCATTATATTGGAGAGAAGGCAGACATGTGTATGGCCGCTAGCACCAACATTTGACAACTCACACCAGAACAATCCAGACTGATAAATAGCACCACAGGTAAGAGGAAACATATGTCTGATTTGTATGTGAACCGTCCCTTTAAGTTAAAGCAGTTAACTACTCAGCTCAAAAATTACATTCAAGATCCTTTGAAAAAAAGAATTTTCTTCTTCTGGTACAGTTGCTGAATAACATTATATTCATGCGGTCCTGCATGAACTCCAGTTTTAAAGTTTTTGAATCTAAAGGTTTCAAAGTAATGGCTCCAGCTTCCAGCGCTGTCTGCTCCAAAGCCAAAAACGCTGACCTGGGAAAACAAAAATGTTACAATGAACTCAGCTGGATTTAACTTAAATAATTGTTGCTTCTAAACTTTTTTTTTGTACATTTTGTTGTCCTTAACCTTATATACTTTGGCATTTTGAAAAGTTTATCCTTAAGGAATCTGGAGCCAGGAGACAGTTAGCTTAGCTTAGCAAAGACAGGAAACAGGGAAATTAGTAGTGTGGTGAACTACTCATATTTATGTGCTTGTTTTAATTCAGCAAACAAGATATAGTGTGTTAATTGGTGGTGTGTAAGCACTGAGAGAAGAATTCGGTTTTGTTCGGACAGAACCAGGCTAGCTGTTTTTCCCCCTTCGTCATGCTAATCTACACTGTTAGGTTCCCATAATGTTGAACTATTGCTGTTGTGATCAACACAAATGCATTTCTCCTCTTATGAAATATTTGTATTAAAGGTGGAGTCTATGATTTTGGAGAAAGACTGTTGATAATCAAACTCAAAACCCAAACAAACACACGTTACAACAACGTTATCAACGGGTTAACCGGCTGACCGAACGAGCAATGTGGCAGAACCCACAGTCCCGATAATTAATATTATACAGGTAAACACTTGTAACTCCAAGTAACTCCAGTTAGCCACTCTAGCAACTCAAATTCAGCCAAAGCAAACCCCAGCGCTGGCAACCCGGTCTTATTCCGAAATCATCGAAAACCGGTGCTTGGGCAGTGACTTGCGGCGTCAGACACTGACGTAAAAAGGCGTCCTTTAAAATCTGCATGATAAGCGGTTGGTCACTGTTATAGTTTAACAGTGCTCAGCAATGTCAGGGTGGAACGCAGCGGGACAAGAACGAAAGTTGAGGCGGCAAAAGTCCGAGTAGGGCGGGTGGGAGGGGTGGTGATTGGGTCCAGCAAACACCGACCATCAGCAGGGAGAGCAGTGTTCATGTCCTGTAAGATTCTAAAGCCGAACCCGGATCTTTTTTCCTAAACCTAACCACGTGTTTTTGTTGCCTGAACCTAACCACGAGGAACAAAAAGTCAATTCACGTTGTTGGTCTGACGTAGTGCTTTTATTTTGAAAGAAACTGTATGTAAACAGTACATTGAACACTGAAAACAGAAGTGTATTTTGAAAGAAGACAATGCATTTAACAGGCAGAACTTGACACTGTGTCTCAGAACGTCAACAACCAACACACCCAGGGTACCTTTCAGGTCATATCTGGACGTGGAAGGTCCATGACCAAATGTCGATATGTGACGAGGTCGGATTGAGAATGTGTTGGCGCTGGTGGTCTGATCCCAGACTGCCGGACAGACGGATCACCAACTTTCCCTTTGCCGGTTAGACCAAGTGTTTAAAGCTTTTTATTTCTTGTTTATCTGACCTTCTCCTCTGTAGATGTTTACATCTCTCCTCCTTGATCATGCACTGTGGATTTCAGCGCCATGGCGTGTGCTGCTGGATTTACCATTCCTCTAACTCTAACTGCCTTTCTCTTTTCCCACGATCTTTCCTCTGTCCTGTGCACGAGCATGAACTCTCCCTGTGGCTGTGGCTACAATAGTGTTTTATGGCCCGGTCAAAGCCACTTTGTTTGTTTCCCATGTAACAAGCCTGGGTTGTGTTTGAACACCACAGCTTTTTCCGTGCACACAGAACAAACAGCAAGCAGACTGTGAGGAGAATGTAGTTGTGAGTTTAACAAGAAATGAATTGGATTAGTATCACAGATGTGGGTTACATGCTGTCATTCCAACATCCCACCATTCCGACATCCCACCATTCCGACATAACACTGTTCTGACATAATGCCATTCTGACATACCCCTATTCCGACATGCAAACGTCCCACCATTCCGACATAACACTGTTCTGACATAATGCCATTCTGACATACCCCTATTCCGACATGCAAACGTCCCACCATTCTGACATAACACTGTTCTGACATAATGCCATTCTGACATACCCCTATTCTGACATGCAAACGTCCCACCATTCCGACAAGGCTTTCCATATAAGGAAATGTGCGTTACTCAACAGGTGACTCCCTTCTTTCTGTTCCTGATGTTAGCTTTGCTGCTGCTGCAGCCACTGATGCTTTCTAGACATTGTGATTTCCCAAAACTGAATAAATACCACACATCGCAACACAAAGAGTTAATGAGCCATTACAGACACTGCTAACGGTGCTAAGAGCGAACGGTTGTTAGCTTAGCTTAGGTTGTTAGTTCGTCCGAAGGGACACTAACAACCCAAAGTACACGTCAAATAAAATTTCTCCAAACATGTTTCTTGTTATTTTAGGTAGTTATTACCACGCTAATGTATGTTCAAGTGTTCACTTCCCCCGATAAGTTGGTTTTAATTCATTATTTGATTCTATAAACACAGTCTGACCATGTTAACAAATATTGCTGTAAATGTGGTAAAAGGTGATGTTAAAAAATTCACAATACTTTTTTAAATGTTATTTTCAGCGTGAGACACTTTACAAACGGCACCCCATAGACAGGGGAGGAGATCGCTCGTTAGTGGTGGTGATAGTAATTTTGTAATCAGACACTAGTTCACGGTTCAGTTGTCCTGACCTGTAGTCACCAGAGAATAGTAGTTTAGAATAGAAGGAACCAACTTATTCCAACTTTTTGCACATGGAGCGGACATCTCAATTATTCTCAGTCTCTGCATGTTAATGATGCTCACCTCTGTACCAGGTGACATGTTCTCGCTGGAATTAGTCAGTGATTTCAGGTGTGTAACTGGAGCGCTGTCATTTATAGGCTATCTGTAATTGCAATTATTATTGTTGCATATGCTGCCAGCGTGTATAAAGACGCATGGGCTCTGTGGAGAGCTCCGCTCCAGCTGGCTGCTGTGACAGGTCACTGACACTGTATTTCTACTTACAGTCAGTGATCCCTGTGATTCAGACATGAATCTAACATGTTTCAGACTCGCCCGAGTTACATTAATACCTGTATTTTGATATTGACATTTCAGGAGATTTTGATAATAGATTATTAAAGTTGGTTTGCAAGGTTGTGGAGTTAGGGGCGTATTTGCACTGGCATATCATTAGTGCAAAATCTTTTGGGTAAAAAAATAGGCCATTAAAAGAATTGTCGGAAAGGCAGGATGTTTAAAAAAAAAAAGAAATTCCGTCTTTCCGACCATAGGAGAAAAAAATCGTCGGAATGATGGGACATTTGATAAAAAATTAAGTGTTGCCATTTAGACAATTAGAGGCCCATGTCGGAGTGGTGGGATGTCGGAATGGACGTTGCCCACCCTTAAAGTTTGATGATTATGTAGAGCTCTTCTTTCTGTTGTTAGTTGTCAGTGAGTGGACTGGAGTCAGTGAAACAGCATGAAATTGTCGGTATAACGTGTAATTACAAACTCACCGCATCACAAATCTGCAGGCTGAGAGCCAGAGTCAGAAAGCCAGTGGATGGATACCTGCCCTTCTTTTCCAGCCACATTTCATGAACATATTTGAGGAGAGCTGGATTGACGATCATCACCTGTTATGAATCAGACTTGTTAATGAACCATTCCTGTCTGCAGTGAAGTCATTACAGTGTGTCACTGGATGACTTGTCAAATATGTCAGTGTCGTAGAAAATCATTATGAGTACTCACCCGATCCTTGTTCGCTATCTTCTTTAACTTCCCAGCACTGATTTCCCTGTTGGAGGGAACATTTGGTAGAACATGAAGCATATTTAGTTTTGATTATATAACACCATGTGCCAGTTACACTGCTAAATAAATTCATAAATTCATACAGGCCATGGTAAAACCTATAATTAATAACTAAGCTTAAGCCTCCTTCTGACTTTTCTACACACCTCATCTGTCAGTAAAGCTTGTGGTTTTTGTTATCTGGTTCCTAGATGCATGGGTGTATTACTGAATGGGCCTCCCAGGCTCAGGGGTCCAAGGGTTCAGGGGGCCCCTGAGCCAGAGCCTCTGCATGGGGTCACTTATTTAACTTTGCTTTTCTTGTCAAAGGGCTTAGTTATATATGTCAATAACAGATAGCTAGTTCCTGGGTACTGAGGGTACTGTCTGTAGCTCTGGTTGAGGGTGAGAGGCTGTCAGCAGATAAACAGAGATCTGTGTGGGTACTAGGGCTGTACCCAAATATTCAGATATTCGAATATTCGTTTCTATGGGTAGGTATTTGTTATGAAAATTTGGTATTCGATATTCGTTTTTTTATTTACTTTTTTTTTTTTTACATATTTTTTTGGTGCTAAATGTAGTCTTTTTGTTGTTGGTAAATGTAGGTTATCAATAAAAATCAAAACTTTTAAATTGCATTGTTAAAAATGTGAAAAAATAGTATCGCCTACCAACGGAGCTTGTGTGCACGGCACGCTTGAGCGCATCCGTCTGAGGCTGTGGATCAATGCCAAGTTTTACCACTTTATCACTATTTCCTCTAACTTGTAGCTGTTTTTTCGTTATCTTTTGAATTTAATATGAATTATGGAACCGTTTTTGTCAACGTTTGTTTCCCCCTTTTTGTATAATAAATTATTGTTTAAAGTTTCAACAAGTTTCTTTTGGAGTGCGTGACACAAGTGTGTTTTGAAAACGGCCGCGGACTGTCACCTGCTCAACGCATCAGTACCTTCGGATGCCATGACAATAATAGCCAATAATGTCAAAATATCATTTACAGACCGATTTAACAGACGATCACTGCTGCCCAACCCACAGGTCCATTTGCAGGTCCCACGGGTTACGGGTCGACCCGCGCATCACTACTCAGCTCAGTCTATAAAGGCTGTACACACAACAGTAAGGCTATAGACATTATATTCTATTCAGGCCAACCATTTTATTGCAGCACAGAGTGTCTGCCAGCAGCCAATTACTTGCAGAGGCTTCCTACAACTTGTTTCAACGGTTCCGATTTAATCAGAAGACAGGATGACTAGCCAATGTGAAAATCAAAAGAAAGCATAGAATAATGTACTGAAGGAGACTGTTGTGCCATCACATTTTTTGTGGTTTGAGATCAAAGATCCGGTTGCCGCTGTGCAAAACTCCGCAATACAATTAGGTCAGAAAAAACCCCGGAGTCCGCCACCGCCGCCGAACTCCAATTGGGCAATGGGGGAAAAAGATGAAGAGAAAGGAGCGTGGGGTTTAGTCCCCAGACCCACCAGACCACTGGCCTAGACATTGAAACTTAAACATTCACTTTGAAGATGCAACAAAGAAACCATCATGATACATTTGAAATGAGTGTTTCTGTCCCCTCAGTTTATCTGTGGGACTTAGGCTCAGTACTCTTGGCAATGCTGGGCCTTCAGCTCTGTGGGGAGAAGCCACAGGGGGGTTATCATGATCCGCCTATGCCTATAAAAACTATGTGTTCAAGTGTCTGTCTGTTTTCGTCATGTAATATGCTCTAAAATTATGTTGTAACAAAACAAACTGAGGTTGCAGGTTCGTAGGACGTCTCAGCTCAGGCAGGGAAGAGCACCCACAGTGTTGGCAGCAAGCACATGATTACTGAATGGATTAGCCTAAGGCTGGGTTTAGACTGCACAACAGTTTTGTCTTTTCCGACAGTCATGTCAGATTAGGTAATTGTGGAGTCATAAAATCTTGCTGTGACTCAGCTGAAAGACATGACAGAGTACATGTGGGTCCACGATCAGCCAATCATCCCTGGTTGTCTCGGACATGTCATTGGAGTATTCTTGTCCTACTTTTATTATAAAAATAGCGTGGGTTTCCTCCAGGTGCTCCAGCTTCCTCCCAATCCATGTCTTCCAAATCCAAAGACATGCAGGTTAACTGGTGACTCTAAATTGTCCGTAGGTGTGAATGTGAGTGTGAATGGTTGTCTGTCTCTATGTGTCAGCCCTGTGATAGTCTGGTGACCTGTCCATGTCAGCTGGGATAGGCTCCAGCCCCCCGTGACCCCTAACAGGATAAGCGGTTACAGAAAATGGACGGATTGGACTACCAATTCAGTTACACTGTACTGCAGTTCTGTGTGTGGTTTGTGCAAGTGGTCATACCATACCCCAGCAGAAGCTATTGCTCGACAGCTGTGGGTACAATCAATGTCAGACACTGTGCTGTCTCTATTTCATCACTTTAAAATGTATTCGGCTAAAAAATGTAAAACTAGAATGTAATTTGAGTGGTACGCACGCTATGTTATAGTTGATGTTGATGTATGCTGTCATCAAAACTTTGAGAAGTCCTGATTTAACATTTTGTTTCAAAATGTTAAGCAGTTAAGGCTCAGAGGTAGTGCAGGTCATTCACCAACCCCAAATTACTCCTGATGGCTGTTCCATTGATGTGTGAGAGTGGGTGTTACTGAGTCGCAGGTGGCACCATGTACGGTAGCCTCAGCCAGCAGTGTGTGAATGTGTGTGTGAATGGGAGAATGTAACGTAGCGTGAACGCGCTTTGAGACGCTGTACAAGTGCAGTCCATTTACCATTTCTGAAGTTTCTGAAAGCCTCTCGTGGGAGGAATCCTCCCAGATCCCCCTGGAGGGTTGGATGACAGAGGATGTCGATAAAAGATGGTCACCCCCAACGCTGAATTGGTGATTACAGCCATACTTACAATTGACCTATGGCTAAGACCCGCCCTCAAACGTGATGAGCCAATCACAGTGCGTATAGCCATTCCCATACACTCGGACATTCTCTGCCTGGACGTCCATTGAAATGCATTACAGAAAGTCAGTTTTGTTCGGTTTTATGAGCTTTTTCTGAGATTTGAAGTTTAAAAATGGTCAAATGGTGTGCATGGGGTACATGCAACTCTGACACAAGGTATCCTGAGAGGCTGGGCGACGAGGTGTATTTTTTACACTTTACACACTTTAATCCTTTGGATAAAGTTGTGTGGTAACGTTAGACCACAACATCAACTCAACGTGAATAAGATTAACAATGATGTCTACATCTGTTCTAAGGTAAGTCAACATTGTGTTTGAGGCAACATATTGTCACTTTGCTGGAAAGAAATATAAAGTTATCTTTAACATCTCTAGCTAACGTTAGCTAAAGTTAGCCTAACATTAGCTCCTAGCTGCGTTGTTCATCATGTCACCTTGTTTGCTGGGAGTTCATTAGCCTATTTTGTTCTAGTTTTGTACTTTGGTGATCGTACATCATTGTTAGCTGTTGTCCAAAGGGCTCTAGTTAAGCTAACGTTAACTTCTGGAGCTTAGCTTCATTAACTTATCTGTAATGGCAGCGATAACAAAGGTTGGCAAACGTTATGCTGAATGATTCAGTGTAAATACTGTAGCACCAAACTAACGGAGAGACACTCTTGGTAAAGATGGTAAAAAGGCCGTTATCCTTTTCTCATATTCTGAGCCAAAAACCTTAACTTCAGTGGCACTTTAACTTGTTGTCTTTGATGGTGACGGCAACCAGATGCGGTTCACAAGCGTACACTGTGACCTGTAAATTTTGGCTTGTAATTTAAGCTTTTCATCGACCTTCTCAACAATAAAATGATGAATATATCCCTCCAATGCGTAGTTTAGGCCCTTTTGGTTATTTCTCAATGACATCTGATCGTTATGTCTCCAAAAATCATCAATTGCCTCCTGCGAAATGCCGTGTACTGTGACACCTGCCATAGCGCCGGTCACTGAATGTTGATTGTTTGTCCGAGTGAGTGGAGGGGGCGTGGCTTAGCCATAGGTCAATTAATCGTATGACTCAGTCCAAACTAATAAACACATTTTGGGCCACCCTCCCACCACGAAATGAGCAGATAAAGTTAGCAATTAGCTTTAGCAGCTAAAGAGGCAGATTATTTACTTACGTATATTAATTGGATGGCCAGAAACACAACTTTAAATTAATGCTAGTGTTGCTCTGTCTCTCTAAAGAAACAATGGTATGCTAATGTGATAACAAAGTGAATCTCTCTAAATACAATAGCAAAAATGAGTAATTCAAGAGCAAAAGTCCTAGAAAGTCTGGAGACTGTTGTCACACCCTCACACCAAGAACCTCTCTCCACCGGCTCTTTGGTATTTGCCTCTCTGTTAGTGAATCTGAGGACAGTTTAACAGCTGAGCTACCACTGGATTGTAATAAAAATCCATTTTTATTACTCAGAGGAGAAACTATTGCTCACTGTGAGGACCATGTCACTGTGTACTTTTCCCACAGTCAGCTACAACACTTCGTCATCAAAATGTAGATTTCACACAAACAAATCTATTCAATGCAATTATTCACTCAATCACAGCTCTGTATCTACAGCGGCTCCTCATCACACACACCTTGGATCGAATCTCTTGAGGAGCCACAGTAGATCGTTTATCTTGAATGAAAACAGCACGAGATGGATGTCGTCATTGTCCAAAAATATGGCACTCTCAGGATACATTACATGATGAGTAGTTTTGGTCCCAACATCCTCTTCGAAGCCTTTCGTACGGCCACGATTCATTCTGAAGGATACAGGGGAATACATATTCATTAATGTCATGTAGTTAAAGAACAATGATGTGGTGATCAGTGTTCACATTACATGGAAATCCTGAATCAAAATGTTGCTCATCCTACTGTATATGGCATATGACATTAGCAGTAATGACTTACCTTATTACAATATTGTGCATATCTATGAGAGGTCCATAGTGTGATCCTTTTAAATTAACAGAGTTCCCCACCACAGCACAAGTCCTGCAGCGGACAGGGCTGGACTCTAAAATATCTGAAATGGGTGGGAAGATGTTGAACAGGCTGTCCACTGTTGTTTTGTAGAAAGTGAAGTTGCGTTTTTCCCCCTGTAAGCGCTGACACACATAACAGAAAAAGAAAGTTATTCCAGCAGCAGTTCAATATCTAATCACAAACCAGAGCTGTGGTTTTTAAAACTATGATCTTCAAGGTTCTCCAACAAACATCAACCTTCAGCAGAGACAGTGGTGTTCACATCCCGTAAGATTCTAAAGCCAAACCTGATTCTTTTCTCTTAAACCTAACCACGTGCTTTGTTGTTGAAGGAAAAAAAAAATCACGGTGTTGTACCGACGTAGTGGGTTTATTTCCTGTGAAAACGGAAGTGGATGTTGAAAACAGACAATGCATGTAACAGGCAGAACTTGACACGGTGTCCCAGAACGCCAACAACCAACACACCCAGGGTACCTTGCATGTCGTATGTGGACGTGGAAAGTCCATGACCAAAATGTCAATATCCCTTTTAGATAGGAATTGTGCAAATTTGCAGGAAAGCCCAATCAGTCTTTTTTCAGCATTGGCAGTATAAAAACAAAATCGGGGAGTGCAGCAAAATGCCGCCTACCTACTTTTGTTTATACAGAATGCACCTTTTTTGGGGCAATGGGGGACGTGGGCAAGTAACAAAACATGTAGCTCAGCGTGTGACGTAAACAGTGACGTGGGAGGGAAGCCGTGGCTATAGTCAGGCGGCAATTCTTTCGTAAATCGCCCCGTTCTTCACTGTCCCCGTCATCTTAATGGCCTCTTCGTTTGCGAGGACAAGGAGGGCGCGCAATTCCTTGTCTCCTCAGTTGCTCATCTTTACAGTGTCTGTCAGGTTTGAATTTCCCTCTTGCTACTAGCTGCTCGCTAATTCCTGCTATCAGCTGTTTCCCGTTTATCCCTCCCGTTGTGGAAGGCCGCCTCGGTCTGTTTAAACTAAAAAGGTTCCGCCAATATGACTACCCTACCAGGCGGAAAACTGGGCACCTTGGATCAACTCGCCATTCCGCCTCTGTGTGTATAAACGCTCACAGCTGGCCGGCAAAACGGGCCAACATTCGCAGAAAATCTGGCAGCATAAAAGGGGCTAATATGTGATGAAGCCGGAGTGAGAATGTGTTATTCTTTTAACTCTTTTTTTGGTCTCCACCAGCTCCTGAGGAATATCTGTCTCTTAAGATGCTCAATGTTTGACTGCGTTCACTAGCTGGTCTCTAAGTGTGTCTGACGTCTGCTTAGAAAAGACGGAGAAGACGGGCACCAACCGACCTATCCTGTTAACCATTGTACAGGCGTCGGACAATAACTTTGATGATTTCTATGCAAATATCAGTTTTCATTTATCAGGGACTGTAATATCCCTTGTTTCACTGACTATTGGCTAAATCCTGGACAGCGCCATTTAACCAGATGGCTCTTTTTCTGTATGCTGTTCTGACAGAGCAGAGGACTCTAGTGAGAGAACGGCAAGAGTCGTGTGCTTTATGGTGAATAAGGACTGGTGTGACGTTTGAAATGTGAGGTGCTGTCCAGTTCCTGCTTGCCACAAAGGGAATAATATTCAACATCATTTTTTAATTTTTTTTACCATTTTCTTACATTTTATAAAACAGTCAACTAATCAATTAATCGAGAAAATAATAATCAACAGTGACAATAACCATTAGTTGCAGCCTTAATGACTTGTTTCGCAATCATATGTTCCAATGGGTCAAAAATGGTGTTGTTTCAGCTGACAGAGACACCACTGACACTAAACAGGTTCCTCTTAGAGTTAAACAAACAGCCCTTTCTCTTTTAGAAAAGGAACATGAAAAAGTGCAGAGAACCTAAAATAGTTGCTGATAAGATGACACTTACCTTCCACCAGTTGAAATCGCTCTCCGAGGGTGTATAGTTTTTTGTCAAAAAGGGTGGAGGGGCTGCATTGATAAGCGTCGTAAACCATGGATCATCCTCTGGCAAACATTTGTTAATGTAGGTATTAAAACTTGAGCTCTGACCATCCAGAGAAAACACCCAATACTTCCATGAAAATTTAGACAACAGCCCAATGCCAATGATGCACAATATGGATAAGAATATTCTGGTTTTTCCCAAAGTTGAAAGCATCTCAGCAGCGTGGCGTTCAATCTGTGGATACAAAATGTGATGAGGCACACAGGTGAGTCACTTCATATACATGTGCGAATGTGCCTGAGGATGAGACTGTTAAGACATCAAAGGGAAATCAAACCAACAGACGGATCACTGTATTTTCCTATCTAAAACCAACTTGTTTTTTTTTTATCCATAGAGCCTTGGGTTATAGCTGTGGGCGGATAAGAGACTTTAAAATAAATTTACAGTCATGTTTCTACAGGGTTCATGTCATTGGTCCGACAGCCCATTGGTTCGACATCCCATTAGTTCGACTGTCCGCGGTGCTGAACGGCTCAAAGCGGGCGTATGGTGCGCCGCGACCGGCTCTGGGTCAGCTGGGAAAGGCTTGAGGCGAAGCAGGCTCACGGCTTATGTGTTTGTCACTTTCTTTTTCATTTTAACCCACACCATGATCTTTTCCTGACCCTAACCAAGTGGTTTTTGTGCCTAAACCTAACCAGACCTTAACCACAGGGCATCATGATGATTTCGGAACAGACTTCAGAACAATGGGTTTAATATGGTCGGAACAATGGGATGTCGAACCAATGGGCTGTCGAACCAATGGGCAGTTCCTGTTTCTACAGTGAATATCAGCCTGCTTGAGAGACTTGTGTTTGACCCTGATGAAGCGATAAGACTCCTATAGAGCAGTTTGACAATAAAGATGAAAGTATAACAATAAAATCAATTAAAAAGTACCCAATTATTTACTTAAAGCAGCATATTAACTGCTGTGTCCGATGATTTGACTGTTCTGTGGACATATTTGTGTCCCACGTGTTGTTTATATGTACACAATTTGAACACAGAAGACAAGGAGTAAACAAAAAGAAGAGCAATAAGCAAATAACCTCACATCATATACACCCATCAGCCAAAACATTCAAACTACTGACAGGTGAAGTGAATAACTTTATTTTGTTCCAATGCACTGTTCTGCTGGGAAACCTTTGGTTCTGGCATTCATGTGGATAACACCTGACATGTTCCACCCACTCAAACACGGTTGCAGACCAAGTACCCCCCGTCATGGCCCCACAGCAGGATAATGCACTACGCCACACTACAAAAACTGTTTAGAAATGTCCCGTGGAGTGTGACAAAAAGCTCAAGGTGTCGACCTGGCGTCTAAATTTCCCAGGTCCCAGTCTGCTCAAGGATTCTTGTGATGTGCTGGTACCCCAGATGTACTCCTAATTCAAGGTGGGGCCTCCTTGGATCGGACTTGGCTCTGACCTGACCAGGCATGGACACAGGATTTCTGGGAATGTCCTGCTGTGTCTGGCATAGGGATGTAACGATTACCGATATTACGGTAAATCTCGGTTAATTTTTACACGGTAAGAATTACCGTTTATGTTTAAATTAATTACATTATCGCGGTGGATTATCAGGATATGTAATAACAGCCTCATTCAAGTCTTGCGATGCAGGCGCTGCGTGAATGCGTAGCATGTGTAAACACAAAGAATGAAAACATGGCAGAAGGTGGTGATAGCGGCTTTTTTTATTTTTTTTCCCCCCCAACTAAATGCACAAAGTCTGAGGTCTGGGCGTACTTTGGGTTTCTGAAGACTGCTGAGGGACAGCTGGTGGAGGACAACTATCCTGTGTGCAGAACATGCAGAAAGAAAGTTGCTGCGAAGGGTAGCAACACTACAAATCTGCTGGCTCATCTCCGTGACCATCATCCACAGCTTTACAGCCAATGCAAGTTATGCCATGCAAATGTTAGTTATTGTGGGAGGGACTTCGGTTTTACTAAGATTGTCATAATGTGTAACTCTCGACGTATACGGGACATTTGAGCCGTATGTGTCCTCCTAAACGGCGACTAGGTTTTCCGTTTTCGTTTAAGACACTTAGGAGCTACTAGCTGAGTAGCTAATAGCCGTATTAGCAGCTATGTTGCTAAGTGTTTCAAAACGAAACGGAGCTGAAAACACTGAGCGGAGAAACCGACATAACGTAACGCTAATTGAGATCAACTATGATTGAATCACTGTGATTATGGTGATTGTATGGCGAGCTAGAATCGATACAGACGGCCAGTTATGCTTTCTCGACATAAGCTCAAGGAAACAACATAAAACGCTGCCATGTTAACCTTTGACCGAGAGCCATAATGGGGGCTCTCGGTTTTATAAGGTTAATTAAATTCACTGCTCATAGTCTTGACCTAACACACACACACACACACACACACACACGAGAGCATGCACTCCTTTTCTCATACAGGTAATCCTCTGACTCACATGCACACTAGTAATGTGTGAATTATTCTGTGTAATGATGACCATTGCCCTTAGGGTTTTTTTGGTTTCTCCTGCACATTTGTGATATCTATTCTATATATTGTATGTCTTTTGTTCTACTCTTGCATTGTTTTGTTTTATATATATTTTTCCTCTCGTGCTAATAAATAAATAATTAACATATAAGTTGCTTACATATTTTGCTGACTGTTAAAATGCACCAGACAAATAAGCTTTGTTCCTGTAATGTGTTTACATATTTTGTTCATTTAAAATAAATTTTTCTGTTGCTGTGCCAATCCCTTTCCCCTTTAATGTGAAAGTTTCATTTTAATATAAGCGTTTGGATTTAGTGAAGTTATTTCAATGTATGTTTTTTGGACATTTTACAGCGCTTAAAAAAATATTGCGATATTATCGTTTACCGTGAAAATTTGGTCACTATAATCGAGATATCAAATTTTCCATATCGTTACATCCCTATGCCAGACTAGGGATGTAACGATGAAGTGTCTTAAACAAAAACGGAAAACCTAGTCGCCCTTTAGGAGGACAGATACGGCTCAAATGTCCCGTATATGTCGGGAGTGGGTGGAACACGTCAGGTGGTATCCACATGAATGCCAGAACCAAATCAAAGTTATTATCTATCTATCTATCTTGCATGCTTTTTTGATGGGCCTTAATGCTACTATAGTCACTAGTTATAAGGTGCACACACACACCCCACTGACAACAAAATCCAAAGGAATCTAGTTTGGGGAGCTCTGCTGCTTTCTCTCCTGTTAGTTTCTCTTTCATCCTTTCATACTGCTGCTTTTATGTTCAACAGGTATGACTGCTTGCTGGAGCAAACTAAAAACTAGCTACCGGATCGTATCATTTAATCACATTAGACAACATTAAGAAAATCCTGATGGGGATGGATTTGTATTTGAGGGCATTCAGCCCACAGCAAATGACACCATTTTTATTTTAATGTGAGTTGAATAAGCCAATAAAGTGTTCTACCTTTTACCAGTTTATTCTACTAAAAAGTATAATGCTATATTTATACAATCTGAACACAGAAGTCTCTATGAGGGTGTGAACTGACAAAATAATAAAGATTAAAAAAGAAGATTAAAAAAGAAAAAAGAAGAGGAAACGCAATGCACTAAACCTCACATTACAGTTTAAAAATATATACATAGGTCCTATGTTTCCCTGCTGCTCTACTTCATCCAAAACTCACACACAGCTTAACTAGTTCAGCAGGTTAGATTTCAGATAGTGTGAGACAGGAGAGATAGTATTTAATCATGGGTGCTTTGAGCATTATAGTCACAATAATTAGCTTTACTCAGTTAATAAATGAGCTTAAAATCACACATGTACGGTAAATAAAGTGTTTTACCTTCTGCTAGTTTCTTCTATTAAAAGATACAATCCCACACTTTAGTTGCCTCTTTGCTGCATGATCACAGTACATCAATAAAGCATTCTAAAAATAACGTCACAGGCAAATCTTCTCTGCTTTGCATTTGAGTCTTCAACATATTAAAGCAACAGGCTACATTTTGTCCCTGCATGCTAGGCTCATATTTTTAAATTAAAAAATTAATAAATTACCATCAGCTGAAATGTGTTAATATATTTTATTTTTCTCTTACCTGAAGACATTAAAAAAAACAAAACAAAAAAACAGGCAGGTGAAGCAAGAGGAAAAAAATAAACACCTTGCAGATGATGAACCCGTGACATATAGCCTACACAATGTAATGATAACCAGGGATTTGAGGAATGAAGAAGTGTTGAAGGTTTGGTGTCAGTGCCAATGGGGTGTGTCAGGAAGACTTGGCATAGCTTTAAATGGAGACAGGCTTTGTTTGAATTTTACAAAACAAATGTAACAACATTTTGTCTTAATTTTTTGAAATGGTCCATTGTCTAAAGCACCTTGACTCCTCTTTGTGTATGAAATGTGCTCTATAAATATACTGTCTATATTATTTAATACCCAGTCATTATATTGAATTATATACTTATGATAATTATGTATTATTTTGGTCTGTGCTCATCTCACCTGTTTAAAGTGGGAGTGTCTCTGCACAGTCCAGATTTAACAACGTTCAAATTGGAATGTGATGACTGTTGTGGGAGTGTTGCTTCTGTTGAAAGGCCGCATTTTATCTGATCAAACCACATCAACCTGGTTTTTGTGTGTTTAGCTCTGAAGAAACAAGGCTGCTGACAGCTACACACAATGGCTTTAGTTAAAGGAAGACTTCACCCACACAATGACCATTTGTATTTCAGTGAGTCTGCTGTGTTACCTTTAAGAAACTTTTCTTGCATGCCTCCACAGACAAAGGCAAATACATTGATTTATTGATTGACTGGGAACCATGTTTAACAACAGCAATGGTAAATCAAAATGCTGTGTTCTGGTAATGCTTTGACTAGGATTAATGCTAAAATGGATGGTCCAGAGGAACTAATCCGCCTGACGAGCAGCCTGGCTCTAACCCCTAAGGAGCCTCCAGCTAACCCCGCTGACCCAGGCTGTGTTCTGCTCCTCTGCTAGAAGAACCAGAGGGAGAGCAGGACATCAGTGGGGTCTGTCGACTTGCTTCCATGGACTTTTTATGCCCCTACCCTCCGGACAGGCGGATTTGTCCCTCCTGACCATCCATTCTAGCAGTAACCCTCAACAAAGATCAACAGACGGCAACATTTTTAGTCATCATTGTGAAGTGGAAATAGACTTTTCAGCCAACTTAGCTAGCATGTGATAGGTAGGTAAAAACATACCCACTAATAAGAGCCCACTAGGCCAGAGCATAGGCAAATCAGAGTCCAACACAGTCCCTACATCAATGGGTATATTGATGCCAATCAATGGCATGGAAGCTCTATGTTCTTTAATGTAAATGTTTAATGTCTTAAAGCAACTCTTACCTTTCTTGCATTTCACACAGCACCTGGAAAAAAATTGAACATCCACAACTCCCGCCTCCCTCCAAAGTCCCATCCCCCTCCTCCTGCAACTCCACCTCCCTCCAAAGGCCTACTCCCCCCTCCTCCGTTACGTCCTCATTACGTCTATGATAGATGTAGGCGTTGGCATGGTAACGTTAGATACACAGAAGAGGAGAGTGAGTGTAACGTTATAACCAAGACAGTCAAACGCAACCCTGGAGTTGTAAAACTCAATTGGAGTCAGTGATGACGAGTGATGATGAGTTTTAGAATAAGGTTACAGTGCTAACGTTAGATAGTAGCATTCACGTTACTAGTAAGTGGAAACGCACAAGGAAGATAATGTTAGTGTTTCAGAGGCTACGCTACAGTAGGCTAACTTTAGCCATTATCAACTGGATGCTGTGTTGTCATATATAACATTATAGCCTATGTTGCATTAGAGGCAAACTAAACATAACGTTACCTGTCCTGCACAGTCAAACGCAACCCCGGAGTTTTGAAACTTATCTGGGGTCAGTGATGACTGATGAGTTGTTTAATATAACGTAAACGCTAACGTTAGATAGTACTGGTGACTGGCAACAAACAAGACAGATAATACAGAGGCTCAGGCAGTGTTAGGCTACAGTAGGCTAACCGTTAGCAACTGGATGCTGTGTTGTCATTTAACATTATAGCCTATGTTACATTAGAGGCAAACTAAAAATACCTGTCCCTTTTTAGCTCAGGATGAAGCTGCATCAGTAATAGCAATATTCTTTCTTTCGCCAACTGATTTCCCTGTTGGTTACACGAGTGGTTACGTTAGTCTGAGGCCTCTCAAGTGGGGAAGACAGACAGGACGCTCGGCCAATTTCATCAAAGTTTTCTTAAAACCATATGAGAGGGGTACAGTTATGAGTTTTTATCTCTGGTGGAATTCACTTACATTTTAGTGTGCCATCAGCTTATTAATAGCATTTCAACCTAAACAAAAAAAACGTAAAATTTCAAGAAATGTGCTGATGATACGTTAACATGTTATATTTTTACCTGTTAAGATGAACACATCTGACTTATTAATGAGCCTGGTCTCACTTTGAAGTCTTCGAAATCCGACACTTGGGCAGTGACTTGCAGCATCAGAAACCAACAGAAAAAAGGCATCCTTTAACGTTGGCATGATATGCGACCATTATATTATTATATATTATTATATTATATTTTAATGGCATCCAGCGGTGTCAGGAGGAAACGTGGCGGGACAAGGACGAAAGTTAAGCTGATGAAAGTCCAAGTGTGGCGGGTTGGAGGGGTGATGGATGGGTCCCACAAACACCAACTTTTACCCAGGAGAGCAGTGTTCACGTCCCATAAGATTCTAGAGCCAAACTCCTTAGAGAAGGAAAAAAAACATCAATTTGCAGTTTTGTGCTGATGTAGTGCGTTTATTTTTAGAGACTGTATGTGAATGTTTTTTGCATGACGTCTGACCAACTGCCAAAACTAACTTTGTCAGCGTTTGTCTGCATATAAAAAAAGAATCTCAACACAACCAGCGTAACACACCCGAGTCTCTGGCCCATCACCATCGCCTGACTGCAATGACAATCTCAGGTCAAACTTTACTCACTAGGACATTTTAAAATCAGTAAGATATTCTAAAAACAGGAGCTCAAATGATTCTGTGTGATGTTTCCTTCCACCACAGAGACAGCCTCAGAAATGATCTATGAATAATCTATGAACAATCTGTACCCGCACACCTAACCCTGCAATACCAGTTCCACAATGAGGTCTTTGCCAACGACTTCTTGTATAACAATAGAAACTTGAACTTGAATCTTGTCCTGGTGCCTTTTTGCTCTGAGGGGGGAACAAATATGCCATGGTTGAGATATAACTGAACAGACAGGCTGAACTAGGTAGAGGTTTATCATTTCAGTCACGCTGCACCTGGAATATATCTGTCTTTGCGGGTTTGTTATGCTTCTTGAAAGCGTTTCTTTCTGCTGTGGCTTTTTATTTTTTTGCACGAAGGCCTATTGAAAACAATGCAATCTGCATTAAATACTGTATGTAGTCTGTTATGTTTTGTTTACAAAAACTTTGCACCGATCATATAGTGTTAGATGATTATCTTCTACAAAGCAGATTCCTTGTGGAATGTGTAATATGTCCATAAAGTGCTGTTTATTTCAAGACAGTGGATCTCAGGTGACTCTTCAAGGCCTTGACGACCAGATCTCATGGGGTACAGGTTTTTGTGCAGTAGACTGAGCCTGTAATTATTCCCCATTACCTGGTCTTAAGAACAGAAAGGGCTGCCATGGATTGAACGAACGTTTCAAGGCGTCTTTTGATTGCAAGGCAACTGCATCATTGTGCCACTTAGACTTCCAGTCCAGCCACTACTGTAACTTTAACAACTCCAGTCCTGTCCAGTTGATTTCAGGTATTAAAGGGGAACTACGGCCATTTTTCAAAATTTATATGCTATTAGTATGGTCTAAGACAGTCCAAAAATATTAGTCAACATGAACAACTCTCCCCCAAATCCAAAAACTAGAGTGCTAAAACTCCAATTTGTGATGTCATAGGGTATAAAGTGTGGACCTGCTCCATAGACAATGATTGGTGAAAGATGTTCTAGATCAGGGGTAGGCAACCTGAGGCTCCGGAGCCACATGTGGCTCTTTAGCACCTCTCCAGTGGCTCCTTGACAAAAAAAAAATACATGGAAATGAGTAATGGTTATGTTTTTTAACATTTTATTTTTTTATATATCAGTGTTGTAGGCCTAAAGAAACTCCTGCATTCTCCAATTGTAAAACTGTGAAGCCTCCAGACCAAATGAAAATAACTAAAATGTGCGCAACACATCTACTGCCTGACACATTTGCCTTGAAATTGTGCCAAACCTCCACAGCAGAGGCTCGTCTTGAGTCCTCCTAGCTGCTTAGCTATGGATGCCAGATCAAAAAAAGTAAAAGTCTCAGAATCAAATAGAGAATTTAGTAGTGTGCGGACAGATTTGTTTGCTTCCACCGCCAGCTCTGCAAAGATAAAGTACCAAATAATCATGAACAGTGCCCTGTAGAGTCGCTCCCTTGTGGTAAGACATGAATGATCATTTAGACTATTAGTATAGGCTGATTTAGACTTAATAGGCCTTTTTACCTTCATTAAAAGTCTCAAATATATTTTGTGGCTCCACACAGATTTTTGAAAATTATTTTTGGTCAAAAATGGCTCTTATGATAGTAAAGGTTGCCGACCCCTGTTCTAGATGAAACTGAGAGCACCCAGGGGAATGCTCTGAGTATATCGGAACATTTCCTGTTTCAGAATTAGGGACATTACAATAGAATAAAGCTCATTTGGGTATGAAATTAATAAAACCATTCTCCCATTAACTGTCTGTGGAGCAGCTCCAGACTTTATACTCTGTGACATCATACAGGGCTCAACAATAAGGATTGCCCAATTGCCCGGGGCATGTAAACTAACAACTCACTTGCCCAATCGGGCAAGTTGTTAAAAATAGTAAAAGTTATTAACTAATTGATAAAATAAATGTATTTTAAAACGTATTTTAAAACTTCTGCTCCCATTGATATTATTTTGCGTGACAGACGCTTCATATAATAACATAACAATATACTATTTATGGTGTTATGCCATCGTGTCATTTCTGTCTCTACATGGTCACGCGTTAACAATTCTGCTCTGCTCTCTGTATCACGCACGGCGGAGTTCTGCCACACACACAGGTGAGCGTGCTAGAGCGGCTCGGGCCGCATTTTCCTGATCAAACCTGACCCCGAGCCCGGCGCAGTTTGTCAGCTGACAAAGTTATTGTTATGGACACTGTGTAAATAACCAACAGACTGCTGTTACGCACAGACAAACACTTGTGTTGCGTTCACGTTGCGTTTACGTTGTCACGTAAATAACAACTTCCAACACTTAAATAGGTCATAG